ATTTATTGTGAAAATAAATGCAATAATTGCATTAAATTACCAAATGACTAAAGTTACTGTATTTACATGCTACACCCTGTAAATCGATGATTCCAATAACTTGGGGGTCAACAAAAATAATGTTAAACAATGAATCATTTATCGTCGTATACGCTAATTATAATTTCGTATAATTATAGTAAAATGTTTATGTAATTATATAATGTTTTGTCTGCATTTTTCTCACATAATAATGTTTTCCGCATATCAAAAAAATGTATTTACTAGTAGGTAGTTACCTATAGTAAATAACTATACCTACCTAGTTAAAGAATATTAAATTTTTTTGAAATTATAAAAAAATTGTTGCACAATATCACAATTATTATAGGTACCTACCTACCTAACAAATAACTGTGAACAAAATATACCTATTTCTAGAGAATAACAGTTAAGTTTGTTAGCGAATTGATGTGATATCTTTATTGTTCATTGATCATTTGTATTTGTTTTTTTATTTAATTATATAATACATATATAGAAATACATTTTGTTCACAGTTATTTGTTAGGTATTGTGATTTTGTCCAACATTTTTTTATAATTTAAAAAAAATGTAAAATTTTGTAACTATCTAGGTAGGTAGGTAGGTATAGTAATTTACTATAGGTACCTACCTACTAAATAGAAATCTGTCAGAACAAATTTATCGGTGAGTTCAAGAACAGTACAAGTCCAAAATTTAAAATTTTGACAAAATATTTTATAAAATTATGTTAATAGTTTGAAATGCATTTTTGTGAGAATTTCAACTATTATACAAAATATGGTTATTATATTTTATAAAATGGTTAAACTATTCTCAAATAATGCATTTTAAACTAAAAAAAATGATTTTATAAAATAACTTGTAAACAATTTAAATTTTGGAATTGTACTATTATTGATCTCACCGATTCAAATGTTCTGACATACGGAAAAACAATATTATTTGAGAAAAATGCAGACAAAACAAATTGGGTTTTATTAGTTTTTATCAATATAAAAAAACAGGATTTGTTTAACCTTATATTTACCAAGACGGCAAAATTAATATTTATTTATAAACATGTACGAGGTGTGCGAGGGGTGGTTCACATGCCGAAAAATGTACACCTACTTCGAAGTACCTTATATATTTTAAAATACTTCTAGTACTCCGAGATACTTCTAGTACTCCGAGATACTTCTAGTACTCCTAGATACTTCTAGTACTCCGAAATACTTCTGATACTTCGAAGGTACTTTTAATACTTCATGTACTTCGAAGTGCTTTGGGATTGCTACAAACGAGCTTCAAGTACTTTGTAATTGATAATATCGAACTTATAAGTTACTAGAGTATCTCGGAGTACTAGAAGTATTTTAAAATATATAAGGTTAACGTTTCCAACCATACATTCAAATTAATTTAAACATTTAAGTATAAGTTCCTAGTATACATTTCTAACATAAAATCAAAAATATGGCCGAAATATTTCTAGTCCCGTTGACAAATTTTTTAATTCCAAGTAAACATTTATAATGTGGATTTTTTGTAATTTTTCTCCTTTAATACATTGGTTATAAAAGTAAAATCAAACTCTTTAATGCATTTTTAAGGTCAAAATATCAAAAACACGACCAAAATACACAAAACCCACTTTTAAACTATGTTGGAGAATTGTATTGCTAAAAACGTTGTAACAACATTTCCAAAACCCACATTTAGCTACATAAAAGTATTCGTCGACAAATTTTTTAATGTGTATTTGTTTTTTAATTTTTATCCTTTATAATACATTAGTTGGGTACATATAAAAGTAAAATAAAACTGTGCAATAAATGTATGAAGGTCATAAAATCAAAAATACGGCCGGAATACACAAAACCCACTTTTAAACTACGTTGGAAAATTGTATTGCTAAAAACGTTGTAATAACCTGTTCAAAACCTTAAAAAACATAAATAAGTAAAGCCCAAAAATATATTTTAGAAAAAATATTCTTCTTTATCAATAGTTTCAATCAAATTACCAAGTATCGCAGTTTGGTGATATATGGAAAACAGGGGTTACACACGAAAAGTGTTTATTTAATTATTAAGGTTAGTGTTGTATGTTCTGTGGTGTTGACATCCCGCCAAATTTTGTGCAAATTCTGCCCAGTGTTTTTTGGGAAAATATAGTTGAACGATAAGGTAATTTTTATCCGAGAGAGATGGAAAAAACATAAAAGGCAAATACCTATATGCATGGCATATATGCACATTTATTTATAACACGTAACCTAAACAATTTGTTTCCCCAATTTTTTTTAACTGTTTTTTAAAAAGGTTGCTTTTTATAATCCATGCTATATCATGGATTTTTAGAGTTATAAGAAACGATGCCTAGAAAACATAAACATGTTCCAGAAACGGTGTATTAAAGAAATTATGACCCAGAAAAACTTGAATACAACCCTGGCAGAGGTGATAAACAATCGTTTATCCTTTGGGCAGGTTGCTACCTGCTTTGATGTTCCCAAAACCACTTTATACAGCAAATACAGAGGAAAGTATTCTGATGTATTTGGGAGGCCTTCTGCCTTAAGTGAAAAAGGCATATAACAAGTGTAATAATTACATCTGCGGAATATGGATAATCTTTTGCAAAACAAGATACAAAAGAGTGCAGTCATATCTAAACCACAAAGGAGTAATAATTAGTTGTTTTAAAGAAAACCTTCCTAGCAACGACTGGCTAAAATCTGACTCAAACTTTCTTCCAAACCGTGGCAAACTACCAACCAAACTGAGCAAAAGTTACGGACCCGTAAAGTTAGCAAGAGATAGATCAAGATGCAAAAAGATCAAGATGCAAAAAATTTAGCTCAAAACAGCAACACAAAAAAATAATCAACTTTAAAATATTATGAGCAATATTTTAGACAAATAAAATTGATTTTAATGAAAGTGGCTGATGGCTCATTGGGCTTGACAACCGACAGACCCGAGTTCAAACCCCAGCTGGGTCAGAACTTTTTTTAAATTTAAATCTATTAATTTGACTGTTTTATTCAGTAGCCACACAAAAAAAAATGTCGTGATCTGGGGATGCGAAATATGCTTTCCTATGGATTTTGACGCGCTGAATCCGAACCCGATATCAGAATTTATCCTTCAGGTCCGCGTTTCAACCTAACCTCAAAAAACGTGAAAAAGTATTTCCTGTTTCTGGGGATGAGGCATGTCGATTCTTATGTTTTTCGATGCATTGAATGTAAATAATCTCTCAGAATCGATCTCACACGTTGTTCTTTTGACTCTAACCTCGAAAAAATGTAATAATACACAAATCCCACGAATTTCCAACGTTGTATAATACATAAATCCGACATATTTCCAACGTTGTATAATACGTAAATCCCACGTTTTTTAAAACACAAGAAACTAACGTTGTCATATAACGTTATAAACCAGGACATTTCAAGATAAAATTATACAAAAAAGTTAGGTTTTCCCAAGGAAAAACGTAAAATTTCTACTAGGGATTCGTAAACGTAAACACACGAAATCATGCGGAATCTCCCGATGTACTTCGAGTACTTCGAAAATACTTCGAAGGTACTTCTAGTACTTCGGAGGAACTTCTAGTACTTCGGAGGTACTTTAAATACTTCGGAAGTACTTCGAATACTTCGGCTGTACTTCGACAAAAATGTACACCTACTTCGAAGAGTGAACCACCCCTCGGAGGTGTGTTCAGAAAATATCGGGAATTTTCGTTTTTTGAAACATATATTTATTTATTTGTCTACATTAATATTGTCGCCTTCAAAATAGTCCCCATTGGATATTATGCACATATGCCAGCTCTTCTTCCAATACTCAAAACACTTCTAAAACTCGATCTTTGGGATAGCCTTTAGTTCTTTCAGCGATGCGTTTTTAATGTCATATATGCTTGCAAAACGACGGCCCTTTAAGGTTCTCTTTATTTTTGGGAATGGGAAAAAGTCAGACAGGGGCATGTCTGGCAAATATGGAGGCAGGGGCATTATAACAGTATTGTTTTTGGACAAAAATGTTGTTCAAAATTTAACAATTTTAGAACAAATTTTGCTGCCACGCGTTTCATACCCAAAACATTCATGGGATGAGCCAATCGATATACCAACATCATCAGCGACTTCTCTGATGGTTTATAACCATTTCTTCCACTTTTTCCATGTTTTTATCGGTTGTTAATGTGCTTGTGCGTTCGGGGCGTTCTTCATCTTCAACGTCTTCACGGCCATCTTGGAAACTCTTATACCACTTGTAAACTCTTGTTTTACTTATAGCAGACTTACTATAGGCCTTTGTTAACATTTCACAGAATTTATTTTATTTTTTAAGCAAAATTGGATACAAATTCTTTGATCCATTTCTTTTAACGAACGAAAAATCGCCGAGCTCATAAAACACGTCTAACCTTAGCGGCTGCCACAGACAAAGTAAACAATGAAAACAGTTAAAGTTTTTATCGAGGTTTTTATCATAATTCGGGGGTATATAGGTATACCAACATAATAAAGAAAATTTTATGACAACCGGACCCTCCGAACCCGCGAAATTTAACAATTCCCGTTATTTTCTGAACACACCTCGTAGGTATCTATTTTTAACAAATAACGTTTTGACATTTCTGACACTGCGTCACCTGAGAATTATAGTGTTCTATCTGCATTTTCTTTTTTTTATTCAGGTTAGTCTTGTTTTAAGTATTAAAGATGGATATTGTTCTATCTATATATAATTGGGGTAGAAATTGTACAGTTTAAGCCTTAAACTTTACAATTTTTACCCCAATTATAAATAGATAGATCAATATCATCTTTAAGACTTAAAACAAGACTAACCTGAATAAAAAAAAGAAAATGCAGATAGAACACTATAATTCTCAGGTGACGACTGGTCTACAAAACATGGATTTATAAAGGCATAGATACCTATCTCAGCTAAATATTAATTTTTTTACAGGAACATGATGGTCCTTAGGGTTCATGGAGATGATTTCGTATTTCCTTCATCCTTACACCAAGTTTCACCAAGAATTCCACAAATGAACATGATGAAAGTACATATTCCATTTACATTTAAATTATTGGAAACCTCAAAATCTTCGTACGCAGGTCAGTTTTTACCGAGGTTTTTACCTCTTAAATTATTTTGCTGTTGATTTAAGTATATGTACCCAAAGATAATTATCTTTGTATGTACCTATTTAATGGTTTAATAATCTAACAAATGTATACAGGGTGTCCCGAAAATAGCACATCAACTTGACTTATAAGGTTTTTCAATTAAGTATTATATATTTCTTATTGTAATGTTACATGTTACACAGGGTGCACTAACTATCCTTCTATGCATGGTTATCTTTTTTATTTCAAGAAATATAAAGTCGGTTAAATAAGAGGAAACGTAAAGACAATGACTACTTATTAAAATTTCATTAAAAAATTGAAAAATAAATAAGCGGTTCTCAAATAATTAAAAAAAAACTGAAAGCCTATCAAAACCAAAAATTGTTGTGAGTTCAATATTCTTGGGAACTTTGAAAAAATTAGGTTTTACTTGTAAAGATACACATTTATCTACATTTTTATCCAATTTGTAATTTTTTTTCGCCTACTAAATTTTGAGTTATCACCACCACGTTTTGTTTTTCCTATGGCTGCCATATTGGAATTTCACATGGTTAGATAGAACAAAATCAACTATATATAAATAATGTTTACATGTTAAATCCACTTTTTTCAAAATTCCCATGAATCACAAAGTTATAACGATTTTTGGTTTTGAAAGATTTTTAGTTTTTTCAAATATTTCGAGAATTGCTGACTTTTTTCAATTTATAAATTTACTACTTTAGCCGACCTTGCTCTGAAAATAAAAAAAGTACGTACCCATAGAAGTATTATTATAATATAGTAAATTTAAAAGCAAACGACGTACACGTCATCGAAGACGTCATAATTTTGCGCACTGGTACCAATACTAAATGTATAAAACGAAGTCTGTAATTGAATATTTTAATGCATTTTAACCAAATTAAGTTGGCAAAAATTGCAATGTTGTGATGTTTAGTCAGTTGTGTTTTTGAATATTTCGTTTAATTCGTGTATAATTTTGTTTATTGTGTTTGTTGTTTATGTTATTTTATGTCGTTTAAGTTTTCATTGCCGTTTTTGTGTTTGTTATATATCGTTTTTCCTATATTTAAAATGCCGAAGCATTTAAATAGTCGGAGTCAAGAGTTGGTATCATCCTTAATACGCTATTTTGAGGCAGAACGGGATAATAATGGACCTTTGTTACCTTTAACAGCTGTTAGTAAGGTAAATACTATTTACCTAAATAGGATTATTATTAATTATATATTAGAATCTTTAACAGAATATATGTTGGATACATAAAATATATTTTATATTTATATTCTTATAAGAATATATATACCATAGACTGACTTTGGATGGCAACATTTCTGGGTGTTATAGCTGAAAATGTCTTTAAAAATGGCTGAAACATACTTTTGGCAGTGCATCATATAGGTTATAAAAACTCTGACTTTTAACATTTTGGTATTATTCATGTAAACGCCATCCATTGCACTAGGTACCACTTTTACTTGATGCAATGATTTTAGCATCACATTGACAATCGTGCCCGATCAGCTGATTGATGACGTGTACGTCGTTTCCTTTTGAATTTACTATATAGTCACGGCCAAATCTGTATGGGTGCACGTCATCAACGGCATATGACGTCAGCGTTAAGGTCTATTCATACGTGCCCAGACACAATCTAACGCTCGTGTATTGTTGACTGTTTATAGCGGTGGGGTCTGTTATTAAGATGGAATTATAACGTCCTTGTTATAATCTTCTGCACTAACTAATTAGGAGTTTGTTACAGGCAAATTTTTATTAAATGTGTTTAAAGAGAAAACAAACGGAGTTTATTACATTTTTATTACATATGCAACAAAAAATTCTAAATTATCAGAAACACAAAATATATAAATTACCAGTCGTCCTTGTCATCAGAGCAAACCAGGTCAGAATTGAAGTCTGATTATTTCCCCAATTTTATTATTAAGCCTTAATAATTAAGGGCGCAATGTCTTCGAAATCTAATAACGGCTAGTTGCCAACAAGCCTTATATCATTGTTTGCACAATCCAGGGATATAATCTTATAAACATAATGTATAATATTATTTATAATAATTTGCAACAAACGATGCTTCCGGACGAAATGTCACAATTACAAAAATACGTCAAATATAAAATGACAGCGACCCATCAATAATATTGAACGGTGCGCGCCAGCCTTAAGCTATTACCAACTGGCACACACAAAAATTACTAAGTGAATGGTTTTATTTTGATAATTTCGTGAAAAAACGTTTTAAAACAAGGAAATTGTTACAGTTCTTGGTAAACAATACGCAAATGAATGATTTCTTTTTAATAACACATCAGAATTACGCCTTAAAAAAGCAAATTTAACGGCAGTAACTTTACAATTCAAAGTTGGTAATGCTGACGTCATTATATCTCATTGTGACGTGCACCCATATAGATTTGGCCGTGACTATACACATATAAGGATATTTGGTGCACCCTGTATAAAAAGATATATAAAAAAAATGTTATGACGTTTTAAAAATAAAAAATGTTTCATCCGTCAATCATAACAACCGTTTTTGGATTTTGGTATATATACCAAGTATACTTACCATTTTTTTAAATCGTACATGCTCAGTAACTCGAAAACAATTACATTTTCAAACTGCGAAGTTCAGCGAGTTTTTTTATTAAAAAAAACATTGTTCTTACCGATAACCGTGTTTTTAAGAATATTAGTCTAACTTTAGACATTTAGTAATATAAATTTTAATGATGTTATTAAAATTATACCTATACAATTCGGGAATTTTATTTTAAAATTAAATTATTCTAGGAACAATTTATAAACTATTCCATACTATCTAAATTTTCTAGTTATTTAAATGTTTGTTAAGTATAAAGACAAAGTTAATAAAAATGCAAATTTCTACCATATTTGTAAATAATGTTCTAGAGCAGTATAGGTATATGTATAGGTATTCGAAAAAATTGCGTAATTTATGTAATTTATAAAGGTTCCAGGTTAAAGTACCCTGGTCGATGGCCTTTTGTATTTCAAGTATTTTATGTTCTGTACTGTACTTAATATGCAATAAAAATTTTATTTATTTATTATAAAGGTTCGTTTGAATATTTGAATAATTTATTTAGTTTACATAACTAAAAATATTATTTTATTTTATTAAGTTTTTCACTCGGTTTTTCATTTTAAGTTTGATTTCAATAAAATTGGTTTATGTTTAAAGTTTAAACTTTAAACGTCTTTATAAGAAAACACCGTTTATTTAAATGCAAACCAAATAATGATTTTGGGTCAGTCCATGTCAACTCAACACACCCATTTTACCACACCACCTCAGATTTTCTTAAAATTTGGGATACTTATACTATGTTCTAAGACTAAGAAAAATACCAATTTTTAAATTTTTATCTTACAATGTTTGCGATATATGGCTATGTAAAGTTTTCAAAAACTCGCGAAAAAAGTGTGAACATTTATTTTTTAAATTGCTCTGGAAGCTGTCCTAATTCAGCTAGAAAGCTGGGAGAGGTGTCATTTTACAGCATTTTAAATGCTCTTTCAAATGACATACGACAAGGGTATTGATGAAAAGATTTTGTTTAAAATCCATATATACACTTCGCATCAAAATTAACGCACCACTAAAATTTGGCACAATTTCAAAGGTAATTTTCTCGCAAACTGCTGAATCGATTTGGTTTTTTTTTTTAAATTGCAGCTTAAATCTTCAGGAATGACTTTGTGAAACAACTTTTTATTTAAATCGAAGTTTTAAGCATATACAGGGTGTTTTAAAAGAAACCAGTTTGTTGTCTAATTTTTGTCGCATCCTGTGGGACTTTCCATCTGCGCCAATAGATGCCTGTCTAAATCAAAACATAGCCCAATCCTTTCTGAGCATTTTGTTTTTTTATTAAAGTTTTTAGCTCAGCTATTTAATGAAATACTGAAATAATGTCAAATGCATTTATTTGAGATTATTCAAGAAAAAGTTTCGAAAGTTACCAAAACGAAAACAAAATTATTTAAAAAATAAAGAAAACATTCAATATCGGGTGTTTCGTCCCCTACTCCACCAGACGTCTTATTTTTTTTTATCGATATTAACCCATATTTCTCGAACAAAGTTTTCTACATCATCCAAAGAGGAAGGTAGGGGTTGATGATCTCTAAGCTGCCTTCTCATTTGATCCCATAAATGTTCTATAGTATTGAGATCTGGACTGCGTGGAGGCCAGTCCAGTGTCTCAATGCCCACCACATTTAAATAATTTCGCACTATTCTCGCAGTGTGTGGTCTGGCGTTGTCTTGCATTAGTAAAAAGTTATCCCCAATATACCCAGCGAAAGGGACCACATGCTCTGACAAAATTTGGCGAATATTACACTGCGAGTAACGTTCATTTGGTCTTCGAATAACCCTTACTCGTCGGTCGTTGCTGTAGAGACAAAACCTTGTCTCATCTGTAAACAAAACTCGCTCCCAATCTTCAGCAGCCCAGTTTACATGTTCCCTGGCAAATTGAGTCAAATTTAGTCTTGCTAGGATGTGGTCTGCATTTAATCTTAGTCCTCTTGGAATTCTGAACCTTAAATTCCTTTCTGCAAGACGTCTCCTTACAGTTGACACACTTACTTAGATAGTTGTCTTGAGTTCTCAAAACGTTACCTCAAAGCATTCAGTTGCAAAAATCAAGGATAGCCGTTGTTTCCCGAGTTCTTCCTTGTCCACGGCGCCTGTTGTGGTCATTGGTTTTCTGAAAACGGCGAAATATGCGCAATATTGTCGAATGAGAAACACCCAGTATTCTACCTACAGCTCGGTAGCCCATTCCTTCCTGGATCAATGTAGTCGCCATCACACATTCATCTGGAGTTAAATTTGTGATTTGATGCTCCATTTTTTTACAATAATAACACAAATGCAGAGAAATTACAGAATAATAACACTGACAGATAAAGACAGTAGCCTCTAT